ACTGGAAAACTCTCTCCATAGGGGCTCAGTTCATCTCATCGCAGAACCTCGCGTGACCGTTCCTCCGCGGGCTTTGTATCCTCATACTTTGGCGAAGGGATCGAGATCATGTGGACTTGGACTAGCCCCGTCAGGTCAGATCATCTCACCTGACGGGAAGTTTACGGGCCATACTCGTAATAGATCTGGACCGGTTGATTGTCGCGAGTATATACTGTAGGTATCGAACGTCGTACACTGCGGCTGCAGTGGCTCTGCTAAGTCCACCTGGAGTCCTTTTGGGGTTGACACAGAAGAAGCATGAAGTAAAGTAGCGTTTGACTTCAAGCCTCCTCCCAGTGGAAACCTACAAAGATTATTTTATTCTCACAAATTCGCAAAAATTCCAAATTCTCCGTAGCCTTTGTGAAGCATTTTTGTTTCAAAGGTGGTTGTTCATCGCCTAAAACCAAAGTGGTTTGAGCAATTTTCTGTAAATGCATTCTTAATCTCACGCAAAGCCCATATCACTCATCTTCATCGGAGCAGACTTCTTCAGAGCTTGGCTGGATGAGCATCGAAGACTCAAAGACATCGATTCCTTGAACGTTTTTTTCTCTCAGAACAAATCCCAGCCTGACTTCCAAAAATTTGTTGTTTACCCCAAGTATACCATACACAATTGAAGCAACAATTACTTTTCGTTAGAATTACATAATCAGTTTTGGACGCGTTGTTGCTGCTGGTCACTGCCAAGGGAGAAGATGGCTTTGATAGGTTGTTTATCTACGATAAGGTTGAATGCTGCAAGCAAGAGGTCTTCACTTTATTAAGGGCAGTATCGTAGACAATACTTGCTGATCTTTAAATCATGGTGATTATGGAGTTTAGTAATAGACAAATAGTTGAAGCCTATGCGATTGCTATTCCTCCAAACATAATCCTTGTTCAAGCTGGTTACTTAACATACCATGTCGGCTTCAACAATGATGATGGCTACTGTTCAAGGATGAATCAGCAGAACCCACTGTGCGAACAGCGAAAGAGGGCTTAACTACTGCGAGAGAAGCCGATATTAAACAGGAACTCGTACAGCCAATACAGGAAGCTCGCGCAAAACAAAGCCGTAGTGGAGTCGTAAAAGTGGGTATCTTCATATTAACATATTTTTCGTAATGATATATAGCTATGTGCCAAGAAAGTATTGAATTACATTCCAGGAAAGGAGGACTGTGGAGACGCACGAGACCCACAAAATAATTACGGTAAATTATATAAAGCATATGCAAGCTACTTTAATGTAACATGCTCGAGTCTATGACAGGATCAACAGTAAACACCATTTCCAAAAAATTCTCTGCTCTTTAAACACATTTAGTGGTAACTTTACCTTCTAGGAAAAGTTTAACTGTTAGTTGAAATTATGGTAGTATGTTGGGTCAAAAAAATTATGATACCCTCTCAGAATTCTTTGTTGAGTCTTCGGTGCCAAAATTCTATTGTGCGAATGAAAAGTTTATGTTTTTGCTTCTAGATCAAAGATTGAATAAGTAATTCTGAATTTAAGTGTATGAATCTTGATTGAAAATCTGGTACCATCGCGTATAGCTTGTGAAACATGTGTTGTTTCACAAAGTTTCTGAGGTGAATGCGTTGAGGAACCACCACATTTGGAGCCAGAGCAGATACGCACTGCGAAAAAAGATACACTCACTGCAAAGGAAGATATGCGACCGGAGGAAGATATGCATACTGCCAAGGAAGATATGCGTACTGCAAAGGAGCATATGCATACTGCGAAAGAAGGTGTACGTACTGCGAGACGAACTGATGTCGAAACTGCAGTTGAGGCGTCCGCTGCGACATCATCTC